TGTAGTTGGATATTGTGACTCAGATTTTGCGGGTGATCTGGACAAACGAAGATCAACTACTGGTTATGTGTTTACTTTTGCAAAGGCACCAGTTAGTTGGAAGTCTACTTTGCAGTCAACAGTTGCTTTGTCTACAACAGATTCAGAGTACATGGCTATTACAGAGGCTGTGAAAGAGGCAATTTGACTTCAAGGATTGCTAAAGGAGTTTGGTGTTGAACAAAAAGGTATCACAATTTTTTGTGATAGTCAAAGTGCTATTCAATTAGCGAAGAACCAAGTTTATCATGCAAGGACGAAGCACATTGATGTTCGGTATCATTTCGTACGAGAAATCATAGAAGAAGGTGGAGTCACAGTGAAGAAAATTCATACTACGGAGAATCCTGCTGATATGCTGACAAAGGTGGTGACTGCGGTCAAGTTTCAACATTGTTTGGATTTGATCAACATTGTTGAACACTGAAGATTGAAGATGAAGACACAACCAAAATTTGTTATTGAGAGAGAATTGAAAATGTGGAATTTTGCCAAGGTGGAGATTTGTTGAAGTTTGGCAAAATGCCAAAGTCCCACATTGGTTGGGAGTTAAGTTTGGGGGGGATTTTTCCCCTATAAAAGAAGGCCTAATGTTTAGGATTGAAACACACCTCTCATTTGCCTTCTCATCTGTTTAAGGCATTTGTATCTTCTCTCTTTAGTATTATTTCACTTGTATTTTTGGAGTGGAATAAAATATTGGTTGTGTCCGAGGAGTAGGCAAAATTAGCCGAACCTCGTAAATTCTGGTGTTCCCTTTATTATTACTTTATTGTCTTATTTATTATTTGGTGGCTGTCATAATTTTTGGTATAGTAGTTGTGACTTATTCACACTATATACATTTGGCTTCCGCAACAAGCCAGAGAATGATAACATGTGGTCCACATTTTCTTATCGTATGCAAGACGCAAAGGAGGTGAAGTCTGTTGCTCCGCCATGGAAATTAGAACAAATCTGGCTTGATGGACACTCATCCCATCAAGCCAGAGAATGATAACATGTGGTCCACATTGTCTTATCGTATGCAAGACGCAAAGGAGGTGAAGTCTGTTGCTCTGCCATGGAAATTAGAACAAATCTGGCGTAAGCACTTGTTAGTCTCAGTATTAATGTTTTGGTCAATACAAGTTGTTTCTCAGAAAAGGAATGAAAAAAATTGCATGGAATTTCAGAGGCACAACCATGAGTTTCAAAGAGGAAAATGAGGGTAGGTTTCCCCTCTTTCGATGTGCACGAGAAGATATGGTTAGAAAATTCTGTAGATTCCTGAAAGTAATAAATTATATTCTTCCTGACAAAACATGCATGATTTTACTAGGTGCTCAAATACTTGCAATGATTTTCAATTCATTGTTTATGGGTAATCCTAAAAGGATAATGAGAAATGATTAGCAGAGCTAGGAGCACTGGTGTTGTTTATCATACTGTTATAATTTAATTACTCTGTACCATGTTTAGCTCATTATGCTTTCACGTGACTGCTACTTTAAAGGTTTCACCTACTTCCTTCCGTGTAATTATTTCTTTTGGTCCTATATCCAAAGGTTGGGCTTGTAGCATGAAGCAAAGCAAATGGACTATGGAAATGGAGCCGTGGTCAAGTTTTGCCCAGAACATCATAACATCCACTTAATCACACATTGATGTAAATTTCTCTCTCATCAATATGCTCAAATGTTGGTGTCACTTGGATGGAGGAATTCATAAACTTGTTCACAGGAAAGATGATCAATTTTATTGTCTAGCTTGCTGTTCATGTTTTGTATGTTCTTTGGTGTAAATCACGCATCGTGGTGTTTTTGCTCTAGCTTCCTGCATCAATGACTGCCTATTTTCCGCCTAGTAAATATAGATGAACATGAGTTTAGTTCAAGATTCATTTTTTTTTAAAAGTATTAGTCTTTCTTATTTGGAGCTATTATGGAAGCTTCTTATTTTGTATTGTAGTCCAGTCTAAAATTGTTGAGCTGATGCCTAGAGATACCCTACTTAGTCCGATGTCGTGTATTCCTATGAATTGGCTTTGTTGATTAGGTATTATGGTAATCGGCAGGTCAATTTTAGAGTTGTCTCCGAAGCTGTTCTGGAATGTGAAATCAACGTGACAAGTGTTTTAAAGTTTCTTCTTTGTCACTAGGTTCAGTTTGGCACTACCACGTATTTATTAAATTTTGGTATGTCATTGTCTCGGAGGTGTATCCTTCTGCCATTATGGGCACTAGCGACCATTGATTGCTAGGCATTTACTGCTGCACAGGACACTGAATTTAGCGATGTTAAAGGCGTGGAAGATACTCCAATAACCCAATCAATCCTTTTTGTTTTTCCAACCCATAACCCATTCCTTCACTATAGGATGATCATGTCCATTTCTCTTACTAGTACTTAATATCTCCCTCCTCATCCATCCCCCCACACATACACAAATTTCTTTGGGTCTCCATATGAAATATTGGATTTTAGTAAAGTTCACCACAAAGATGCGGTTGGCCGTGTGGATGACAAGATGCGGGAAGCGAGGCTCAGATGGTTCGGGCACGTGCAGAGGAGAAGTATCGATGCTCCAGTGAGGAGGTGTGAGCGGTTGGCCGTGGTGGGCACGAGAAGAGGTAGAGGGTGACCTAAGAAGTATTGAGGAGAGGTGATCAGGCAGGACATGGTTCGTCTGCGGATTTCCGAGGACATGACCCTTGATAGGAAGGAATGGAGGACTAGCATTAGAGTTGTAGGATAGGGGTAGTGGAGCTTTCCTTACTGCATGCCGGGGGTGAGGCGGGGTTGGATTAGGGTTGATCTTAGATGATTTACAGTTTATGTTGAACCCACACTATTCTTGTTGTTTATCTTAGATTCCTTAGACTCTGGTTACTGTTATTGCATGTCATTCATCTTTTGATTTTTATGCTTCTGTTACTATAATGGTTTTTACTGGAGTTACTAATGAATTCTCTTTTCTTTTCTTGTTTTCCTTGTTTTTCTTTATTTTCGTCGTTCTGAGCCGAGGGTCTATCGGAAACAACATCTCTGTCCTACCGGGGCAGGGGTAAGGTCTGCGTACACATTACACTCCACAGATTCCACTATGTGGGATTTTACTGTGTAGCTGTTGTTGTAAAGTTCACCACAAAGAGCAAAAGCCAAAATCCTTTGGAATTGCAGTAAATGAACAATACAACGAGCCAACCTCCCCTCAGAAAAAAGTAAATTACAAAACGCTTTACGTGTGTCAGAACCGTGGGGGTCGGCAACTATGGACCCTCCGACAAGGTCGGATCGGACCGTGCATGACCACGTGGTTTGTTGAGAATTTCTATGCCGCGTGTTAAACGTTCTTCTAGTATTGGACCCATTAGTTCCAAGCAAATTCGATTAAACTCGCTCTGTTCAGAAAAAAAGGTATAGAGTAGGCATTTTAACCAATCATTGAACACGTAAATATTATTTTGACATATAAAAATTAATGTTCATATTCACATTGAATATTCAATATGTTGATATTACTGGTCTCAGCTGTATCATAGTTTCATGGGGCTAGTTTTCTCATCTTTTCTAAAGTTTTGAAAATTAGGAAAGGCAGGTAGCCCACAAATTGAGAAAATTTGAGGTAACTTTTTATAACTTTGTCAAAGGAAAATGGCATTTAGAAAGAGTTAACCATATTGAGTATTTACTCCAAATAAATAAATGTAAGATATATGTTTTATTATTTAATCATGATTAAGCGATAGCATGTGATTTTACTTTAATTTTTAACTATTAGGGTCAAATTGGAATAAATATTTATTTACTAGCCGCGCAGGAGGAGAGTGAATTAATTTTTAGCATCATAATATGAGAAACTCAACGTGGCGACTGGTGTGTGAATAAGTAGTCGTGTACTCGTTAACAGACTTGTACGATTTACAGGGTCTGTTTTGGTTGGTGGTGTCCAATTTAATTCACTCTCCAAGAATCCCAACTAGTTCTTCATTGCATTTGACGCCCACAAACTCGGTAAGTACTTGTCCCTCTCTTTCTTCTCTCTTCTTTAGCTCCCTCCTTTACATTCATTGGTTATGGGGTACCTTTTTTAATGTTGAAATCATTATGTATTTTGTTCGATAATCATAAAAAGTCACTTATGTGGAGAATATTACGTACTTGTTTAGATCACAATATTATTGAAAGAACATATATTTACCTAAATGCTGTTTCAGTTCTTCAGTGGAGCAGCTGCTTCTTAATGTTTGAAGCCTCAAATATCAGAAGCAAATACATGATTGTAACTTCATCTTGTTCTTGAGCCAAAGACCCAAAGTTAATCATCCGTACTAGTAATACTACGATGCTTTGGATTCCCCCTCTTTTTTTCCTTTTTTGTAGTTAGGACTAAGTGGTGATATCAACAAGTAATCTTTCTTTTTATCTTTCCCCTTACCTTTAACTCTTATGCTTAAGCTAAGTAACAGATTTATTATAGAACTGGGGCCTTTTTGAAAGCAAAGCTGGGTAGTTCCTGCAATTAATTCTCAGTTTAATTTCCATCATAAGTTCATCTGGGAATAAGGAGTGACAGTATAATTGTGTTAAAACCTGACTGGTATGAGAAGTCAGATTGGTTGTTTGGGTTTGTTAATTGTTGCAAGTGTGAAACGTCCCTTTATTTCGACAAGGAGTGAAGGTCGAGGAATAGAAATGGAAGTTGGTGGATTGAATTGAATAATGGTGGTTGATCAATAGTATCAGCATATATAAATGAATTCTGGGTAACTTTGAAAATTACAATTTTGTATATTAATGAAATTGATTCAGGAACATGCTTTATTATTAACTGATATTACCCATAACTCAAAAGTACTTGATTTCATTAATTTCTTAATGACAACCGAAATTTCAGACTCGGACATTCTTCATCGTCAAAAGATCCAGCATAAGCTCCTGACATTTACTTGTCTTTTGTTTGTTGGACGTATTGTTAAGTGAGATGGGATCTGTAGATAATGAGTATAGACCACAATAGGACTATAGGAGTCTGTATATTCCGTTTGTTTGGTGTTTGCATATTCGTCTGATTTAGTATGACATGAATATTAAGGACTATTTTGTCCACCTCAATTTCTACACTATTTTGCTTTAAACCTGAAATCACCTGTGTACTTCAGAGGATTTTTTCACTTGAGGATTCCCATGAAAAAGTCATAATGCTCCAAATCATATTTCATACAAAGCACCTCCATTTTATGTGAACCAAAAATAAGAAGTCACAGAGGATATCCTTTTTATTCTCAGACAGTCACAGTCCTGATAAGTCTTAACAACACCGTGCAGGTCTTGATCTTGATATTCTCATTGGCTAGCTACGAAGATGGAATTAGATCTTGGGCAAGTCACACTGATAGGATCCACTGATTGGCTAGCTAAAAAGATGGAATTAGATCGTGGGAAAGTCACACTGATAGGATGCACTATATGTCTCATGCTGACTATGCATTTCAGTATACAGCTAGTGACAGAGCATTTTATGTCATGGAAGAAGCCTAAAGAGCAAAAGGCCATAATCATCATCGTCCTCATGGCACCCTTGTATGCTATTGACTCCTTCATTGGGCTGATTGATTTCATGGGAAGCAAACCCTTTTTCACTTTCTTGGATTCTGTCAAAGAATGTTATGAAGCAATTGTAAGTCAATATGTAGCTAACTTACCCACTGAGCTCTGTTCTTATCAGTTGTATAATACTAGAGATTCTTTACTCACTTCTGTTCTAAGTGATACAGGTGATGGCTAAGTTCCTGGCATTGATGTACACTTACTTGAACATATCCATAAGCAAAAACATAGTCCCTGATGAAATTAAGGGAAGACAGATTCACCACTCATTCCCAATGACACTCTTCCAGGTAAAATATGTAAACTTGGTGTAGTGAAAATTAACACTGCATTCTCATGAGAGAAAATTTGTGATATTGCTGGCTAAAATCACGAACTTTTTATTCTGCAAGCTGTATTAGTTGAGTATACTGTTAAGCACAAAGTTCACTATTTCAACTATTTGCGCCTACAGCTAGGTGAGATTTAGTTGCTTAGTAATATTACAAAGCCAAATTATTGTTACTGTATGCTAAGCTCACAGACTCAGAGGATAGGCATATAAGTGTGCTGCCTCATTTTTTGCCCCCTTTCAAAAGTATCATGCCTCTCTGTATATGTTTTCTTGTACCCAGTCACTAGCTAACTGTTTTATCACTGCAGCCTCACACTGCTCATTTGAACCATCATACGTTGAAGCTTCTCAAGAACTGGACATGGCAGTTTGTTGTGATTCGTCCTGTATGCTCCATCTTAATGATTGTTCTACAACTTCTCGGAGTGTACCCTAGTTGGGTTAGCTGGACCTTTACCATGATCTTAAACATATCCGTTTCACTGGCTTTGTATTCTCTTGTGATTTTCTACCATGTCTTTGCAAAAGAGTTGGCACCTCACAAGCCACTAGCCAAGTTCCTGTGTGTCAAAGGAATTGTCTTTTTCGTTTTCTGGCAGGTACTCCTCTCATCTTTTCTTACAGCCTTATCTTTTGCTTTCTTGTAAATTACATATTGGAGTTCAGTTTTGCTGTTACTTTCTTATTGAAAGGATATTGTTCATGCCTGTGGGACCCTGAATTGTTGATTAGACATGTTCTATATTTTCAATATCCTAATGGTATTAAAATCAAACCATTAGTAAGTTTCAAAAAAAAAAAAAATCAAACCATTAGCGCGCAATTACTTTATGGAGTGGCTTTTACATTAAATTTTCTTATGCTTAGTCTTGAAAATATTAAACTTCATACCACTTTGCAGGGTATTCTGCTTGACATTCTTGTAGCACTAGGCATAATCCGATCTCAACATTTCTGGCTTGATGTGGAGCATATTCAGGAAGGTATTCAGAATGTACTAGTGATTGTGGAGATGGTTTTCTTTGCTATTTTTATGCGTCATGCATACAGTGCTGCACCATATCGCCAAGAAGCTGTTACAAGTTCAGGAGATAAAAAGAAAGAGTGATAATGCAACATGTATCGTTGTGAAAATCATCTTCAGATATCTGTCTCTTCTTCCTATTCCTTGTATGTCATCTTGAACTTGCTTGTTGATGTACACTAGATTCTTCTATTAAATAAAATGTATCCTCAATGGAGTCATAAGCATGCAGAAATTGATGGAGTATGTAGAACTAGTGTTTTATCATCAGGCAGTATAGTTGTACCTTACACCTATTTCAAGATATGTAGAAATGGAAAAAGATCTTATTAGAGCTAGACAGATCGACTAGAATATATTGTGAGACAGACTTAGAACAGAGAAGCATATGAGCTGGTAATTTTTTTCTTGTCAAGAAGACTATAAAAGCCAAAATAAACCTGATATTCTAAATTTCTCGTGCAATATAAAATCTTGTGATAAACAAGTCAAAAAGGTAAATATATCTCATCATTGCGATGCTCTTTATGCGCGCATTATGTCAAGAATGGTAACCGTTTATTTCATACTATTCTTAAATACAATGAATTAAAGATGTTGTTTATATAACATATACAAAGGATCTATACTTGGAAGGTAATAACTACTGTACATAAGTTTAGTCTATGATCTTGGAATCTGTAATTGGAGACAAATAAGAAGGAATCCCTGTCATCTCTCCCTAAAATTGCTGCACAAATCTTTTGTTACAACTCATGCCAGCATCCCCCTCAAGTTGGTGCATAGATGTCTTCAATACCCAACTTGTCTAATGAGTTGTAGAAAACCTTGCTTGATACTGCCTTGTAAGAATGTCAGCCAACTGATCTTCTCACTTTACAAATGGGAATTGAATTATTTTATCTTCGAGCTTTTCCTTGAGAAAATGTCGGTCCACTTGGACATGTTTTGTCCTGTCATGTTGAATTGGATTCTCTGCAATCTCTATGGCTGTTTTTTTTTTTTTTTTTTTTTTTTTTTTTTTTTTTTTTTTTTTTG